CACCGTGTTAGCCAGGATGGTCTCGATCTCCTGACCTCGTGATCCACCCGTCTCGGCCTCCCAAAGTGCTGGGATTACAGGCTTGAGCCACCGCACCCGGCCTAATTGTTTTCTATTTGTAAGCTTTTGTAACTCAGTCTGCTCCTTTATAATTTCCTAGTCAAATGAGGTTCAAGAATAACTCTAAGCAGACTTTTTAACCTGTACCCACTTTGGTAAACTGTTAGATGAGAACAGAACTGACTACCCTAAAAAAGGAGACTTATTAGTGTATCTGATAAATGAGTAGCATTATTAGCTTATGGTCAAAATAACCAGATTTGATTTAGATGTTTACATGTTGCTGTCCTATAGTAAACTTAACTTGACTAGCAAAACCTTTTGTTTATTCCTAGTCAGCTCACTCTTCTATCCTTTATATCAGTGATTACAAACCTTAATTCTTCTCATAACCTCATTCTTGCCCTTTCTCTTGATCTTGCCTCTAAAAGAGGAAATGGAGGTCATAGCAGAAACTGCTTTCAATGTCCTGCCTTCCTTCTCCAATTTACCTAATTTTGGAGCTGTTCTTACTGCTTGGTTCTGTCATAGCAAAGGCGATTTACTTCCTCCTACTTACAGTAAATAGTTCTATCTGGATTCTGTTGCCTCAGTAGCACATTTTCTCTCATAGACCTCTACACCAAAGCTAATCCTACTTTTTTGTCCCATTTTGAGGAATTATATCATATCCACCCTGTTGACCAAATCAAACCTGAGAGTCATCCTAGATTCTCTCAAGATTAAGTGACTCTCTCTTAATCCTCCTCTTATTCTCTCACTATTCATCTCCTGCCATTAGCTTAGTCACTAAGATGTGTTCCTTCTAGATTCTATCTGTCTTTCATATTGAGTATCTCTTCTCCAGTTTACTTGTATCCCCTCAATCGAAGGCTTCATCATACCTCCATATAGCCTAGTGGGTAAGAGTGCGGACTCTAGAGTTAGAATCCTGAATTTACATTCTGACTCTATCATTTGTTAGCTGTATGATTTTGGGCAGGTTATATATCTCTTAATCTTTAATTTCCTACTCTGCAAAATGGAGATCATAATAGCATTCACCTCATAGGGTTGGAGGATTAAATGAGTTAACATATGTAAAGGGCTTAGAACAGTGCTTGGCACGTGGGAGGCGCTCAGTAAAGTTAACATTTATTATTGTTGTAATTATCTCACAAACTTTCTAATTGATCTACCATTAGTTGTGCCTTACTTCATATTTTCATTCAAGTTGTTTTTTTAAAACACAATCTGATTAAGTCAAACTCATTGCTTGGCCTCACACCTGTAATCCCAGCACTTTGGGAGGTCAAGGAGGGTAGCTCGCTTAAGCTCAGGAGTTCAAGATCAGCCTGGGCAACATGGCAAAACCCTGTTTCTACAAAAACATTTAAAAATTAGCTGGACATGGAGGCATGAACCTGTAGTCCCAGCTACTTGGGAGGTTGTGGTGGGAGGATGGCTTGAACCTGGGAGGCAGAGGTCGCAGTGAGTCAAGATTGCACCACTGCACTCCAACCTGGGCAACGGAGCCAGACCCTGTCTCAAAAAGACAAAACAAAACAAAACAAAAAAAACAACCATTGCTGAAAATCTTTAGATGACATCTGCTGGACTCTGAGATAAGATTCAAACTTTGTTTAGCTATAGCAAACAGAGCTTTTGTGATTTACCTTACTAGCTCCCGTGCCTACTTTATCAGCCTCATCTCTTACCTATTTGGTAGAGGTTATATAGAAAAGTTACTTTAACAGCTGCATGCTTTGTCATGGCTCTGCCTGGAATGGCCCTTTCTCTAAGCAGTCTGGATATCTTATTCTGGAAGTCTTAGTTCTACTTCTTAATTTTAGGAAGTACTCACATCTCCATCAAAGCAGGGATAGATTTTCTTCCTTCTGTGATCCAAAATAATATTACTTACCATATTATTTCTAATTATTACTTTACTTGTTTATAATTTTAAGTAGGCGATGGTCTCATTAAAAGTGGAAGTATTTTGGTTATCTATCCCCTGTGCTTTGCACATAGTGAGCACTCAGTGTTTCTCGAGCACATTAATTAATTAAATGGAGGAGGGAGAGATGGATGAAATATTTGTTATGCCTATAGAAATTTATGTTTGACCAGGCACAGAGGCTCACGCCTGTAATTCCAGCACTTTGGGAGGCCAAGGCAGGTGGATCACTTGAGTTCAGGAGTTTGAGACCAGCCTGCCAATACGGTGAAACCGTGGCTCTACTAAAAATACAAAAATTAGCCAGGTGTGGTGATGCATGCTGGTAATCCCAGCTGCTTGGGAGGATGAGACAGGAGAATCACTTGAATCTGGGAGGCGGAGGTTACAGTGAGCTGAGATTGTGCCATTGCACTCCAGCCTGGGTGACAGAGTGAGACTCTGTCTCAAAAAAGAAAAGAAAAAAGAAATTTATTTATTTTATGCTTTTTATTTTTTCTTCTTCTTTTAAAATAATCAGGTGTGTTTGGAGCAGGAAAGAGTTATTTGCTGGCAGTGGTGATTTTGTTCTTTGTACAGCTGTTTGAAAAGAGTGAAGCTCCCACCGTTGGAAATGCAAGGCCATGGAAACTTCTAATTTCTTCTTCTACTAATGTGGCTGTTGACAGAGTACTTCTTGGGTAGGCATGACAAGTGCATTTAAGTAGCTATTGTTTTGGGATATTGTTGAGAGAGACAACCCACTGTGGGCCCTGAGTGTCCATGTACTCTTGCTGGTTATGCCAAGAATGCAAGACATTTGTCTCTGACCCAGGAGCCAGCATCTATGAAACAGTAACAGGCTAACTAATTAGTTTGTAAGTAGGATAAAATAAAAACCAAAACTGGAAATTTTGGCACAGTGATACTCATGCAAAAATTCAAGTTCAGCCAAGAACATGTAGGGCTAGAGATGCATTGTTGAGGGAGGCAGTCTGCCAGCATCCCTGAGCATCCCTGCTGGGATGCCAAGGATACAAGTCCCTGACCATTCTTACCCAAAACATTTCTCACATTTTGTTTGCAATAAGCAACTTTGACTGATGAAGTAATGTCTCCCTCCAGGACAAAGAGCAGGCTTGCTTATTACTTGTTATAAGATATTGGATCCCCAGCCTCAGTGTTCTTGCCCTACTCCTCAACCCACGGCATGTGCAGGCATCTACCTGGACGCTGTTTGTCTCCTCATGTGACTTGGGAGCCAAGGGAAACCAATGCAGATATGTTGATAATTATACTGCTTCCTGTGCCATAAGTAAAAGTCCTTTGTCTCTGACCTAGGAGTCTTGGGTCTATTACCTTAGAAGTAGGTTAAAATCAGGCTGGGCATGGTGGCTCATGCCTGTAATCCCAGCACTTTGGGAGGCCAACGTGGGCAGATCACTTGATGTCAGAAGTTCAACACCAGCTTGGCCAACATCATGAAATCCCGTCTTTACTAAAAATACCAAAAAACAGCCGGTGTGGTGCCAGGTGCCTGTAATCCCAGTCACTCAGGAGACTGAGGCAGGAGAATTGCTTGAACTCAGAAGGCAGAGGCTGCAGTGAGCTGAGACTGTACCACTGCACTCCAGCCTGGGTGACAGAGGGAGACTGTCTCAAAAAAAAAAAAAAAATTAAAAAAAAAAAAAAAATAAATAAATAAAAAGAAGTAGGCTAGAATCAAATTCCAGAATCAGTAGTTATAGATTAGTCTCTTGTTCATCTGCCTATATGAACACATCATAGTAAAATGGCTTAACAATTTAAGTATATTATGTTTTTTATTTCAATAAGAGGAATGCAAAGAAGACAATAATCTGTTTTGAAGGTAATTTTTGTGATTGCATAAGACTTTATTAAAAATGCAAAGAATATTACAATATTTCACCAATATTCCAATGTTTAATGATCTGAATTTCAACATAAATGGCAGTTTGGTTAGGAGAAACAGTCATTATTTCTAAGCTTAGGCATTTAAAAAATTAACTTTCATAATTATACAAGTGAATGTTTATGGTAGAACATATGCAGACTACACAGATGTTTTATTATATTTACTTACAGATTTTTAAATACACACTCATACATTTTGTTTTCCAAATTTGAGATTCAATAGTATGTGTTGTTTGTGTCCTGCTTTTTTTACTTAAAAAGTTGGCTCATACCTGTATTCCCAATACTTTGGGAGGCTGAGGTGAGCAGATCACTTGAGGCCAGGAGTTCAAGACTAGCCTGGCGAGCATGGTGAATCCCTATCTCTACCAAAAATATAAAAATTAGCTGGGAATGGTGGGACATGCCTGTAATTCCAGCTACTCGGGCAGCTGAGGCACAAGAATCACTTGAACCCGGAAGGTGGAGGTTGCAGTGTGCCAAGATCACACCACTGCACTCCAGCCTGGGTGACAAAGTGAGACTCTGTCCCAAAAAAAAAAAACTTAGAAAACATAATTTTTTATAACTCTATTGTATTCAATGATTTTCTTATGCCATACTGTAAGCAATTTTTGATCAGTAAATTATTTCCAAATTCTTGCCAGTATGAATTATATTATGACAAAGATCCTTAAACATAAAACTCTGTATCCATTTCTGATTCTTTCCTTAGGAAAATAATCCTAAGCCTAGAATAAAAGATATGAAAACTTTTAAGCTTCTAAATATACTTTTCAAAATTTCCCTTCAGAAAGATTCTTTCAGTGTACACTCTTATAAGCAATTTAAAAGAGTGGCTGAGGACGTTGTGTTTGTTTGTTTGTTTTTAATAAAGACAATGAAGAGTTACCTGGAGACTACACAGGAAAGAACTTTAGATTGATTAGCCCAAGGTGAAAATTTAACTGTAGACTGTTAGAAAACAAAACAATATTAAAAACAAACAAGCAAACAAAAAAACAAGAAGTTAGAATGAGGAGGGAAGGTAAGTACTCAATACTAAAAGTTAACAGGAAACTTATAAAAGAGATTCTTTAATGCTTAAATCTCTGATAAGGACCTGAGAAATGTGAATCTCTAATTAGGATCTATGCCTCAACTGCTTATAGTCTGGTTTCATACATTTCTTCACACCGAAATAACCTTTTCATTGTGTGCTTGAACAGACCTTGTTTTCCTATTGTAGTGGATAGAACAGTTTCTTGAGAAAAAATGAAAGAGCATGGGGTGAATAGTACTTTGAGGAGACTGCACCTTTGTTATTATAGATTCAACCAAACTTGCATTGAAAAAAAAATCGTAAGCTAGTATTTCAGCCCATTAAGTTGCTATTATTCTTCAAGCTGAAGACTATGAAAAATGTGAAAATTGAAATCTATTCATATATTGATACTAATTTGTTTCGTAATTATTTTGGAAAATTGTTTTTAGAGATCTATAGTTTAGTTCTCCAGGTCTTTACATTCCCATTTTGAAGTGGTAGAAGTTTTAGAGAGTTGAGTATTCACTGAGTTCCAGCTGTGTTCCCAGCATAGTGCTAGAGCTGTAAGATATATAAAAGGAAAGTGTAGGTGAGGGGTCATTCCTCACAAAGCCCTAACTAAGGGGTAATGTATGTAGAGGACCAGTCATAACCTTTGGATGTAGACAGGGTTGCCTGGGTTTGAATCATGATACCTCACCTCTGAGCTTGTGTCCTTATCTCTAAGAGGAGATGTCATCTAGAGCTGTCGTGAGTATTAAACAATGTAACATACGTAAAGAGGCTCTTCCTAACAAATCTTGGTGCTAAGTATATGGTAGCTATTGCTTTCTATATTGTGTCTTTAGAGGCAATTTTATTTGTGATAAATACTAACATTGGCTTTTTATGAACATTTAATGAGCCTTCAAGATGGAATAATGCATATTTTTTAATTCTCTAGAAAATGCATTATATTTAAAAAACCAACTACATTGCATTTACTTTGAGTTTAGGTATTTCACATTAAATTTTATAACTAAAATATACTGTTACACAAAATTAGTTGTAATAACACAGTTATTATATAAAACTTTATTTTGTATTCTGTTTCCTAAATAATCAGAATCTATATTGTTTTCTTATTTAAAGGCTTCTCAGTCTTGGATTTGAAAACTTTATCAGAGTTGGGAGTGTTAGGAAGATTGCCAAACCAATTTTACCTTATAGGTAAGAATGCAAAATTCCAGAAGCCACAGAATGGTCAGAGGGAAGTATGGTACTTTTATATCACTCTTACCTTAAATTTGATTTTTGAAGAATGGAGAAAGGCTTATCTTTTCTTGGTTAACTTAGAAAATTCGTATTTTGCTTTACTGTGATGTTACAAAAAATGAAATAAAGAGGAGTGTTTTTAATATAATTCTTTAGCCTGCATGCTGGCTCAGAAAATGAAAGTGAACAGTTAAAAGAACTACATGCACTAATGAAAGAAGACCTGACTCCTACGGAAAGAGTCTATGTGAGAAAAAGCATTGAGCAGCATAAACTGGGGACAAACAGAACCCTGCTGAAGCAGGTAAGAAGTAGCTTCAGTTTGTTTCTTGATTTATGTATACCATTCAGATTCTCTTGTTTCTGTTGATGAAATAATATTTCCTTTAAATAAAACAAACTGCCATGATAGTTTAGATTCTACTGAGGTGCATGCATGTGGATCCTTGGATATAGTCTACCCAGTGTATCTTTTATGTTTGCTTCAAAGCATTCTTCAAATTCGTGAATAGATCCAACTCACCATGACTGAGTCATCCTTTCTCCTTCTCCCTGTTTACTTTCTTTTTATAGGCTTGAAGAGGAAAGTATAGAGGTGGGAATAGATTCCTTGCAAGTTAAATGAAATTGGTTGTATTCTAGGAGAAACAGTGATGGACAGGGTCTGACCCTGAGCAAAATATCCAAATGAAATTTGTGGCTGATGCTCTCCAAGAAAGCCAAGTCCTTTAGTGTTTGTATATATCCAAAAATCCAGGAGGCTCAGATACTAGCTTCCAGGTATTGGGAGCCAAGACTAAGCACACAAGATTCCAGGCTTTAACAGGTAGCACTATCTTCTTTATCAAGTTTTGATCCAGGGAAGCCTGGGCATCAGCTGTTGGAAGAGAGAAATCAATCAGCAGCTTCCTCCTGTGAAAGTAGAGCATGGGGAAAAGCAATGGGGATGGAGTAAAAGAAAGTTGTTGGCTTCTTGGGCCACTTGCACATTGGCAACTTTCTGCTAGAGAGTTGAGAAAATCAGTCTACTTGGGACCCTGTATTAATCAGCTATTGCTGAAATAATGAGGGTTGACAAACTCAGTCTTAGTACTTTAAGACAACAGCTTATGACTCTACAGGTCAAGTGGTGTCGCTTGGCCTGAGGCTACGGATCAAGTCTCTCATTCTGAGAACAGTTGCTATGGCATGATCTTTTTAACAGATGGCAGAAGTGCAAGAGGGCAGGACAGATCACAGAAACACATTTAAGGCTTCAGTTCATATTATGTCTGCTGACATTCCATTTACTGTAACAGGTCACATGGCCAAGCCTAACATCAGTGAGGCAAGGAAATATACTCCCCTACTTCTCTGGTGGGAAGCACTGCCAAGTAACATGGCAAAGGGTGTGGATATGTAATAATAATTTCCTAGAGCAGGAAGGAGAAACTGGAAATAATAACTAAATCTATAACAAGTTTTGGTTCTGGAAGTCCTCAGAAAACTTCAGACTAACTTTCTGTTATTTGAATTTTAGAGTTAACTCTGTACTCTCTTCTTAACCAAATCCAGAAAGGCTTAGTTTGGCTGTGTTCAATTAATACAAATTAGTCATTTATTTAAACTACTTACCACTTTACTCACCCAACATAACAATGATACGTAAGAATAATGTATCATTGTTAACGATGTCTTGGATGATTTTCTGAATGAAAGCTCAGTTACCATGATCTATTGCTCATTGGTATCACCTATTCACAAATGAAAACTATTTTAGAGGAATTATTTTTTTAGATGTTTTCTCTGACATATTTCTAAGGTCCAGTCAGGCATTCAGACCTGACACCTTTTTTTCTTTTTTTTTTTTTTGAGCCAGAGTCACTCTGTCGCCCAGGCTGCAGGCTGGAGTGCAGTGGCACAGTCTCAGCTCACTGCAACCTCCACCTCCTGGGTTCAAGCGATTCTCCTGCCTCAGCCTCCTGAGTAGCTGGGACTACAGGCACGTGCCACCACACCCGGCTAATTTTTGTATTTTTAGTAGAGATGGGGTTTCACAATGTTGGCCAGGCTGGTCTCAAACTCCTGACCTTAAGTGATCCTCCCACCTCCGCCTCCCAAAGTGCTGGGATTACAGGCATGAGCCACCACACCCGGAAGACCTGACTCATTTCTAAAGTGACATGTCTTCACAATAAAACTAATTTTTAAAAATGCTTCATAGTTAATTAATACTTGTTAGGTCAGTAACAAAATCTTTTCTGCTGTTAGAATCTCAGCAACATAATAATAAATTAAAAGATAATATAATTTTTTAAAGAAAACTTAAAACTTTAGGTCTTTGTATTAGACATTTCTTTAAATTTAAAAACTTCCTGACACAGAACTTTAGAGTTCTCATTCTAAGATTGTTTTGTAGACATAGTTGCCAGAAATTAAATAAAATGAATAATATTTCAGATGGCACTGAAGCTTGATCATTTTTAAAGCACTGAACGTTTAAATACTGTGGAATTTCTGATATAAATATGGCTTTAAGATTTTTGTTTTTGTTTTTAACAAAAGAAGAAAACCTAACTGATACAGGGCTATTGTGTGTGGTGAGTATTATTTATTATTAAAAAAATAAGGCGGTTGTAATGTTTTCTTGTTTTGTAGGATCTGTGGAGGCAGTATTTAATTTGTAAAGTATATTTTTTGTCACTTTGTTGAAAAAAGATATGGTCAGTTGGTATGAACTGCCCTTACTATCAAGAAGTATAATTTTATAGATCTTCAGATTGTTAGAAGAGAATAAGTACAATCACATATCATTTAACAATGGAATTACATTCTGAGAAATGTATTGTTTTACAGTTTTGTCATTGTGTGAACGTCATAGTGTACTTACACAAACCTAGATGGTATAGCCTACTACACACCTAAGCCACATCGTATAGCCTGTTGCTCCTCAGCTACAAATCTGTACAGCATGTTACTGTACTGTATACTGTAGGCAATTAATTGTAACACAATGGTATTTCTGTATCTAAACAGAAAATGTACTGTGAAAATATGGTATAAAAGATTTAAAATGGTACACCTGTATAGGGAGGGAGGGAAGGAGAAATTGGAAATAATAACCACAAAGTTTTGGTTCTAGAAGTCCTCAGAAAACTATGTATATTATAGCTTTTTAATAGTTAACTTTATAGTTAAATTACTACGAATGGAGCTTGCAGGACTGGAAGTCACTGTGGTTGAGTCAGTGAGTGAGTGGTGAGTGAATGTGGAGGCCTAGGACACTGCTGTACACTACTGTAGACTTAAAAAAAAGTTTTGATTTTTTTGAGACAGAATCTTGCTCTGTCCAGGCTGGAGTGCAGTCTGCGATCTCAGCTCACTGCAACCTCCGCTTCCCGGGTTCAAGCGATTCTTCTGCCTCAGCCTCCCGAGTAGCTGGGATTACAGACACCTGCCACCATGCCCGGCTAAGTTTTGCATTTTTATTAGAGATGGGGTTTCACCATGTTGGCCAGGCTGGTCTCAAACCCCTGACCTTCAGCGATCCACCTGCTTCAGCCTCCCAAAGTGCTGGAATTACAGGTGTGAGCCACCACGCCTGGCCTACTGTAGACTTTGTAAACACTGTACAGTTAAGCTACCCCAAATTTATTTAAAAATGTTTTCTTTCTTCAATAATAAATTAGCTTATGATAACATTTTTACTTTATGAAGTTTAAAATTTTTAAAAACTGTTTGATTCTTTTGTAATAACGCAGCTTGAAACACAAACATTTTGTATCTACAAAAATATTCCATAAGCTTTATTTAAAATTTTTCTTTTTTTATCTTTAAAACTGTTTTTTTCTTTTATTGTTTAAAACTAAGATACAAACACACACATTATTCTAGGCCTACCCAGGGTCAGGATCATCAATATCACTGTCTTCCCCCTCTACATCTTATCCCACTAGAAAGTTTTTAGGGGCAATAGGACACATGGGGCTGTCAGGGCTTATGATAACAATACCTTCTTCTGGATACCTCCCGAAGGACGTCCCTGAAACTGTTTTATAGACAACTTTTTTTTTTTTTTTAAATAAGTAGGAGTACATTCTAAAATAATAATAAAAGTATGCTATAGTAAATGTATAAACCACTAAAATAGTCATTTATTATCAAGTATTATGAACTGTACATAATTGTATGTGCTATAGTTTTATATGACTGGCAGTACAATAGGTTTGTTTACACCAGGATTACCATAAACACATGCATAATGCATTGTGCTGTGAGAGTTGTGATGTCACTAGGGGCTGGGAATTTTTCAGCTCCATTATAATTTTATGAGACCATCATCATATATCTGGTCCATCATTGACCGAAACATCACATTGTTATGTGGCACATGACTGTATATGTATATGTACATGTATGTGTATGTGTTTATACACACATATGTATATGTACACAAACATACGTGTGTATATGTGTATGTACACATATGTGTATAGATAGCGGGCTTCTAGGTCAATGACTACATCGATTTAGAAAATTCATAGATTTCCCTATTGTTTACATTTAGCTTTAGAGATTAAAAATCAGCTTTTATGAAGCTTTTTGCCTTCAGAGTAATGCCATGTTGCTATTATGTGTAATTTACAAGATTCAAATATATTCACAGGCTACGAGTACATTTTATTTACTGTTGTTTAAAATTAGTCATCTTTACATTTTTAAATAAATAAAACTAATGTGCTTGAAGGTTAAGCAAAGAATATTTCGTTAACATATTCAATGTTTTTTGTGAAGAACTTTGGCCTGTGTTGATATAATGTATGTTGTCTAACCTCATCTAGACAATAAAATATGTGCGTCATCCTTGATATTTTACAAATGCTTGATATTGTGATACTTTCCTTCTGAATATCAAAATATGTCTTTTATTTGTTCTTGTTAATGGGCTTGTGGCTTAAGTAACCTACATTTGTTGATTTCCATTTTGTATGTAGGAATAATAAAAATATGGAGATATGATGACCTAAGATTTCTGATGGCTAGGAATTAAATTAGAACTAGCTCACTCTCTAATTTTAGCCTACAAGTTCTTTGGTAAATACGTTCTCTTATTTTCTTTTAATAGTTGTTAATTAATAACATTTTTGTTGTAATAAAGGTTCGAGTAGTTGGAGTTACCTGTGCAGCCTGCCCATTCCCATGCATGAATGATCTTAAATTTCCTGTAGTTGTGTTGGATGAGTGTAGTCAGATAACCGAACCGGCCTCTCTCCTTCCCATTGCAAGGTAACCTAAAATATTCTTTTCCTAGGGGTAACACCTGTAATCCAAGCACTTTATGACGCTGAGGCGGCTGGATTGTTTGAGTCTAGGAGTTTGAGACCAGCTTGGGCAACATGGCAAATCCCCATTTCTACAGAAAATACAAAATTAGCTGGGCGTGGTAGTGTGTGCCTAAAGTCCCAGCAACTTGGGAGGCTGAGGTGGGAGGATTGCTTGAGCCCAGGAGGTCAAGGCTGCAGTGAGCAGGGATCGCACGACTGCAGTCTAGCCTGGGTGACACAGAGTGAAACCCCGTCTCAAAAAAAAAGAAAAAAGAAAAAATAATAATACTGAAGCATGAAAGGATTAAATAACCTGCTAGGTATCTAAAATATAATGGAGTTGAGATTTAGATATAGGTTTGTTTATAAAACTTTGATTTTTCCCCACTATATCCTACTCCTATTTAGGAAAACATTTAGCCCCTGAGAACCCAATTTACTTAATTTCTAAGACAACGGTTTAAGCTAAATGACTCCTAAGAAAGACTTTAATTTTAAGAGTTTATGGATTCTAAAAACTAGCATTTCCCAAATATGCTCTGTGAAATATTAATTCCATGCAGAGGCAAGGGGCACCTACTAGCTTTTATGTGCGGGGAGGGTAACTAAATTATATAAAGGATTCTTTATTGCGTAACTTTTCAAAGCCTTTAATGTGCTTAATAGCACTACTAAGCTTTATTAGTACTCAGGATATTTCATGGCATTTGAATATTTTGAAGTACAATTTTGGCAAACAGTGTAATAAATGATGTTAATGCACTCTTTTTAATTGCTTAGATTAATTTTTGAAATTCTGTTTTAGGTTTGAGTGTGAAAAGCTGATTCTTGTTGGAGATCCCAAACAGCTACCTCCTACTATTCAGGGTTCTGATGCAGCTCATGAAAATGGATTGGAACAAACTCTTTTTGATCGACTTTGCTTAATGGTACATACTGCTAAATTCTTACAGAATTATCATTTATTGATTCTACATTGTGTGTATGTGTTGATAGAGAATGAAAATATTAGAAGACTTAGTCCTCCCTTAAAATAATGTATAATTGGAGTTGTCTGGAAAATATTAATCTTAAATACAAGTGGAACCCTGCAATTTAAGTACCTTTTTTTTTTTTTTTTTTTTTTGAGACGGGGTCTCACTCTGTCGCCCAGACTGGAGTGCAGTGGCCAGATCTCAGCTCACCGCAAGCTCCGCCTCCCGGGTTTACGCCATTCTCCTGCCTCAGCCTCCCCAGTAGCTGGGACTACAGGTGCCCGCCACCATGCCTGGCTAATTTTTGTATATTTTAGTAGAGACGGGGTTTCACCGTGTTAGCCAGGATGGTCTTGATATCCTGACCTCGTGATCCGCCCGCCTCGGCCTTCCAAAGTGCTGGGATTACAGGCTTGAGCCACCGCGCCCGGCCAGTACCTTTTATAAAAAGAAATGTTTCCCTATTTACTTGAGTAGTGGGTAGGAGTATATAGCTTTTGCTCTGAAACCAAAAAAACCTATAATGTCTCTATTATCTACATGGAGCACTACTTCACATTGTAAATAATTTTTAAATTAATTATTAACATTTTTTAATTGGGGTGGAATTTACTGTCTTAGTCTATTTTGTGCTAGTATAACAGAACAACCTGAGACTGGGTAATGTATAAAGAACAGAGATTTATTTCTTATAGTTTCGGAGGCTGAGATGTCTAAGACCTAGGGACCTGCATTTGGCAGGGACTTTCTTGCTTCATTGTCATCCTGTGGTGGCGGGCAGAAGAGCAAGAGAGTGGGAGAGGCCAAACTCATCCTTTTATGAGGAAGCCACTCATGTGATAATGGCATTAATCCATTAACCCACACACATACACCAGGAATGGCATTAATCCATTCACAAATCCATCTTTTTATGAGGAACCCACTCATGTGATAATGGCATTAATCTGTGAGGATTACAAAGAATCCTCATGGCCTAATCACCTTTTGAAACTCCCACCTCTCAACACTGTTGCATGGGGATGAAGTTTCCAACACAGGAAATTTGAGGGACACGTTCAAACCATTGCATTCATCTAACATAAAACTATTTTTTAAATTTCTTAAAAAAAAATTTTTTTTCTTTACAGCATGCGGTTTATATAGCAGAAACTATTTTAAAGTGAACAGTCTAGTAGCATTTAGTACATTCACAGTTTCTTGTGTAACCACTACCTCTGTCTGGTTTCAAAATGTTTTCATCACTTCAAAATAAAATCCATACCCATTTAGCAGTTAACTGCCCATTTCCTCTTCCCTACAGCTTCTGGCAGACACCAGCCTGCTTTCTCTCTGTATGGATTTATTTATTCTGGATATTTTATATAAATGGAATCATACAATATGTGACATTTTGTGTCTCTCTTCTTTCATTTTTTGAGGTTCATTTATGTTGTAGCATATATCGGTACTATATTATTATTACTTTAAAGTACATTCATAATGTTGTACAACCATCACTTGTCCATTTCCAGAATTTTTTCATTATCCCAAACAGAAACTTTGAACCATTAAGCAATAATTTCCCATTTCCTCTTCCCTCAGCCCCTAGTAACCTCTGTTCTATTTTCTAGCTCTATGAATTTGCCTATTCTAGGTGCCTCATTTGAGTAGAGTCATACAGTATTTGTCATTTTACATCTGTCTGATTTACTTAGCATAATGTGTTCAGAGTTCATCCTTGTTGTAGCATGTATCAGAATTTCATTCCTTTATAAGGCTAAATAATATTCCATTGCATGTATGTACTACATTTCTGTTGATAGATAGTTGGGTTGTTTTCACCTTTTGGTCTTGTGAATAATCTCTTGTTCAAATCCCTGCTTTCAGTTCAGTACATACCCAGAAGTATAATTGTTGGGTCATATGATAATTGTATGTTTAAATTTTTGAGGAACCACCAAACTTTTTTCTGTAGTAGCTGCATCATTTTACTCTCCCAGCGGCAGTTGCACAAGGGTTCTGATTTATCCACATTCTCACCAACACTTCTTGTTGGTTTTTGAGTATCATAGCCATCCTAATGGATGTGAAGGGGTATCTTATTGTGGTTTCCCTAAAGACTAATGATCTTGAGCTTCTTTTCATGAGCTTATTGGCCATTTTTATATCCTCTTTGAAGAAATGCCTATTCAAGTCCTTTGCCTATTTTTTAATTGGGTTGTTTTGGTGTTTTTGTTGTTGCATTATAGGTTTGTTTTTTTAAAAAATATATTCTAGAAATTAGTCTCTTTTCAAATATATGCTTTGCAATTTTTTTTCCGTTTTGTTGGTTGTCTTTTCACTTTCTTAATAGTGTTTTTTGATGCACAAGAGTTCTTAGTTTTGATGAAGTTCAATTTACCTATTTTTTTTAATTCTGTTGCTTGTGCTTTTAGTGTTATATCTATGAAATTGTTGCCAAATCCAATGTCATGAAAATTCTCCCCAATATTTTCTTCTAAGAATTTTATAATTTTAGCTCTTATGTTGAGGTCTTTGATCCATTTTGAGTTAATTTTTGTATATGGTATAAGGGTCCAATTTCATTCTTTTGCATGTGGATATATAGTTTTCCCAATGTGTGGAAAAGACTCTCCTTTTTTCCCATGTAATTGTCTTGGAACCCTCATCAAAAATCAGTTGAGCACATATACAAGGGTTTATTTCTGGACTTTCTATTCTATTCCATTGGTCATTGGCTTGTAGATGCTACCTTCTTGCTGTGTCCTCACATGGCAGAGAGAGAAAGAGAGAACACTGTTTCTATACAAACTATACAACTATATAAACACTATGTTTGTATAGTTGCCATTCTTGTTTCATTTTCTGGTGTTCATGCTTGGATATCAGATACTCTCTCAGATTTGTATTCTCTGTTTTCTCAGTACCCTGGAATTATGGTGATGTCCCATCAAAGTGATAGGACAGCTGAGGCCCAAGAGTATCCCTGGGAAAGGGACACAGTTCTTGAGCCTTCAATTCTAGTAAAAACTGCCAAGTTCACGTTCCCTTTTTCATTATTCTTAGGAACCATTGCCATCATATGAATTCTGGCTCACTGTGCTGCTTTTTCGCCTTCCACCCCAGAATCTTGTTTCTTTCTCGATGACAAGTACTTTTTAAAGTTTATGGCATTTGGTTGGCTGTAAACCTTTCTTTGTTGCATAATTGCTGCATTATCTTTGCTGCTGTTTTTGTATTTTTTGTACCTTTATATATTGGAGAATGGATTCTATAAGGCAGCTTTATTCTACCTTAATTAAGAAGTTCCCCCTTAGATTGAATTTCAAGTTGCATTGAATTTTGAGTTGAATTGTATTCCGTTTTGTGAAGAAGGAAGCTTTCAGTTGTCTTGAGCTGTTAATTGCAATTTAATTGCAAAACTTTCCACCTCATCTGTGACAAGTCAGTGTCCAACCTCTTTTGTATCAGACATTTTCAATGGCTTTGTAAAAAAAAATCTTAACTAAAAAAAAAAATTATCTTAAAAAAGGGCTGGGCATGGTGGCTCCGGCCTGTAAATCCCAGCACTTTGGGAGACTGAGGTGGGAGGATCACTTAAGGCCACAAGTTTGACACCAGCTCTGGCACCAGAGTAAGATCCTGCCTCTACCAAAAAAAATTTTAAAATAAAAAGTTATTTAAATTCTTAAAACATTTTTGAATAGGTGATATAGTCATATGGTTCAAAACTCAAGTGGAACCAAAAAACATGGAGATAGTGAAGACTTCTCCTCCTGTCCCCCAATCATTCATTCTCACTCCTTCAAAGAAACTGTCATCACTTTCTTGTACCTTTCTTGTGATATTTTATGCCTGTAAGCAAATATAGAGCATTTTCTCTCCCCATTTTAACAAATGGTAGTGTACTCTGCATACTGTTCTGCCCTTTTTCATGTACCTATTGTCAATGCCTTTTAAAATATGAAGTGGGTTTTTTTTAATTTGGGGGAATTCTAAAACGGCAAATAAAGGATGGACAAAAAAGTGAGTTAGTCACAGAGTAGAATAAAAAACAGTTATTATGAATGAGCTAGATCCATATGGATAGTTCTCAGAAATATAGTGGATATTGAAAGAAGCAAAGCACAAAGGGATAATTATAATAAAATGCCATTTATGAGAATTTCAAAAGCACATAATATATATTATTTATAGATTCATACCAATACAGTAAACATATAAAAACATGTATGACGAGTCCACAAAACAAAATCAGGACTGGGGTTATTTCTGGGAAAGGTGGTAGAGGAAAGCAATGAAGGAGGATCTTTAGCTATATATGTCATATTTTATCTAACAAAAGAGAGAGCCAAAACAAAAATGACTTAATATGGCTAATGTCAAGTCTGGATGGTAAGTTCATGGATGTAATATTACTTCTTTGCTTTCTGTATATTTGAACTAGTTCACAATTATTAAAAGTAAAAGAAATAAAAGTAATCACTATTCATTATAGAAAGTGTGGAAACTACAGACAAGAGAAAAGGCAAGCTGGGTGTGATGGTTCGTGCCTATAATCTATGATCTCAGCTGCTTGGGAGGCTGAGGTGAGAGGGTCATTTGAGTCCAGGAGTTCGAGGCTGCAATGAGCTATGTCTCACCACTGTATTCCAGCCTGGGCAGCAGAGCAGGATCCTGTCTCTTAAAAAAAAAAAAAAAGAAAGAAAAGAAAAGAAAAAAATAGATAAATTCGGGTGGGGTGTCAGGCATCTGTAGTCCCAGCTACTCAGGAAGCTGAGGCAGAAGGATCGTGTGAGCCCCAGGAGTTTGAGGCCAGCCTAAGCAACAGCGAGACCCTGTCTCAGAAAAGAAAGAAAAAAGGTAAAAACAAAACAAAAACATCTGTAATAACTTCACTGCCCTTAAGAGAAAACTCTCTGTAATGTTTTAGTATTTTTCCTTCCATCTTTTATCCTAGGGTTATATGCCTATATCAAATATATGTATTTATACATAGTTGAAACCATACCATAAATATAACTTCTATCTTGCCTTTTTAAACTTTGCATAATAGTAAATCATCTCCCCTTGTTACTACTAGCTTTGTATCATTACTGTTGTCATAAATATGTTGATCACTAAGTATTATGTAGTGTGGATATACCATAATTTAGTCATTTCTCTAACATTTGAGCAGCTCACTGCAACCTCCACCTCCTGGGTTCAAGTGATTCTCCTACCTCAGCCTCCCGAGTAGCTGGGATTACAGGCGCCCGCCATCATGCTTGGCTAATTTTTGTATTTTTAGTAGAGATGGGGTTTTACCATGTTTGCTAGGCAGGTCTCGAACTCCTGACCTCAGGTGATCTGCCCACCTTGGCCTCCCAAAGTGCTGGAATTACAGGCGTTGAACCATTGCGCCCGGCTTGAGCATTATTTTTCTTTCAGCATTTTTATACTTGACACTTTTGTCAGCAGTTTCATGTGCTTGCTGACTTAGACTTATAAACGTAGACAAATTTATGCCCCAAAGAGTACTAGGATTTTTTTTTTTTTTTTTTTTGCCATAGAAGATTCTTTCTCCATGTGGTCATTAATCCTGCATTGAATTATACATGTATTATTGTTAGAGCACCTTGTAGCTATTCAATTCTAACAATACTACAGAACTTTTTGCTCGAATAGCCCTAAAGTAGATAGGACTTGGATTTTATGATGCATTAATAAAATCTGTAACTTCTTTGAAGATTCAGAATGAAAAATGGCTTTGACTCAATGAGGGAAGTTAATGAGATATCTATGACACCTAATTTTTTAAGAGATTCTTTTCAATTTAGTGTTAGACCAAATCCAGATATATTATAAAAGCATAATGTTGGCCAAGCGTGATGGCTCACACCTGTAATCCCAGCACTTTGGGAGGTCAAGGCGGTGGATCACTTGAGTTCAAGACCAGCTTGGCCAACATGGGGAAACCCAGTCTCTACAAAAATACAAAAATTAGCCAGGTGTGATGGCAGATGCCTGTAATTCCAGCTACTTGGGAGGCTGAGGTGGAAGAATCGCTTGAACCCAGGAGGTGGAGGCTGCAGTGAGCCAAGATCATGCCATTGCACTCCAGCATGGGCAACAGAGCGAGACTCCATCTCAAAAAAAAAAAACACCATAATGTTAGGAGCCAAACTTACTAGATAAGTCTAAGGTTGACATCTTTTATATTTTCTAATTTTTCTAATTTAATATGAACATATTTTTAGTAATTAAAAAATATATTTTTATTTTTTGTAATTCATCTCCTAAGACCATACATAATATAGCAATATTTTTAATTTTAAAAACATTCTTTCCATAGAAGAATAAAAAAGTTATGTGTTCTTACTTTTCTTCTTTTAAATTTCTTAGGGTCACAAGCCAATTCTATTGAGAACTCAATACCGTTGTCATCCTGCAATCAGTGCTATTGCTAATGATCTGTTTTACAAAGGAACCCTCATGAATGGTGTAACAGAAATAGAGAGGAGCCCTTTATTGGAATGGCTACCAACCCTGTGTTTTTATAATGTTAAAGGACTAGAACAGGTAAATGACATTAATGTTGATGAGAGTCAACATGGTTTAGGTTCCTTGTTTAATTTTGTTGTTGTTTGTATGATTTTACTTGGTTTTGCCGTAGCCTTTCTGGGAAATATAATTTAGGATCTGTTTCTTACTCCAGATAGAAAGAGATAACAGCTTTCATAATGTGGCAGAAGCTACTTTTACACTGAAGCTGATTCAATCACTGATTGCAAGTGGAATAGCAGGCTCTATGATTGGCGTGATAACATTATACAAATCCCAGATGTACAAGGTTGGTATTATGTATTACAGCATTTGTCATATATTAAATATAACAATTACATATTACCACATTTGATATTACATTTATAGTAGTCGGTTTCGTGCCTGAAAAACTTTTGGTACTGTAATTAATGTATTAAAAAAGAAACATTCTGATTTTTTTCTAGTCTGGCTTTTTTTCTGTGTAATTAAATGTAAACCTAACAAGGTTTAATTAAATTTAGTTTACCGCTGTTGGGGCAAAAATACAAAAAAACAAATTAGAGGAAAGAAAATATGGTGTATGCTTTGTAGACAGATGGGATTGAATCTCAGTTATCCAAAATGTTCCTTTATTATTAGTACATTTTATCACTAAATCAAGGATAGATACCAAATATTAATGTACACATAAGCCAATTACTTCTAACTAGATTTTTCTTTTTTCTTTTAGTATTTTTTGATCTGTTTCATTATTAGTTTATCAGCTCCAAATCAGCATATCCAAATGAGTTACGCAGCAATAGATAAATCACTTTTGATTTTGTGTCGTAATTAATATTGTCATCTAGTCATTTATCTATCATTTTAGAAACTAGCCAAATCTATGTGAGTCATAAAAGAAAAATGAAAATTATTTACTGTTAGTTAAATTATCGTGGTTGCTTTGAGCAGGTTCAGAAGCTTAAGTTCTTCACAATCTCTCACCACATGATTCCTATCTTTTCCTCCACAGCTTTGTCATTTACTCAGTGCTGTGGACTTTGGCCATCCTGATATTAAAACTGTGCAGGTGTCCACAGTAGATGCTTTTCAGGGAGCTGAAAAGGAGATCATTATTCTGTCCTGTGTAAGGACAAGACAAGTAGGATTCATTGATTCAGAAAAAAGAATGAATGTTGCATTGACTAGAGGAAAGAGGCATTTGTTGATTGTGGGAAATTTAGCCTGTTTGAGGAAAAATCGACTGTGGGGACGAGTGATCCAACACTGCGAAGGTAAAATAAAAATGTGTTTAATTCATACGTATCAAGTTCAAACTGACTTTTATGGGTTAATGCTTGGGGTGCTTCAAGCAGGAACAGTTCTGAATTTGTCACTGGGGGAAGTAACTGACATGATGATATTGGGACCTCTGTAAAATAAAGAATAGTTGTCTCATGTCGTATGTTTTTTTAAGGAAGGAAAGATGGATTGCAAGATGCAAACCAGTATGAACCACAGCTGAACCATCTCCTTAAAGATTATTTTGAAAAACAAGCGGAAGAAAAACAGAAGAAAGAGTGAAAAGAGAAATCTAAAGATAAATCTCATTCACAAAAAGACATGATGTAAATATTTTGTATTTATGTAAAGTCAGACTCATTTTACATTGTATATTTTTATATATTTATTACTCTAAACCCTCTTATTAAAAATACTTTATGATATTTAAATAACATAGTAAACACATGTAAAAATTTCGTTCTTCAAAAAAGTGTACAAAAGGTAGTATAAAATCCTAATAAAAATAAGCTTTTTTCTAAGAAGAATGATTTCTGTTTGCTAAAGAAATGAATTTTACAAGGGGCAGGGTATGGAGAATACCTGTATACTTCAATAATAGTGAATGTCTCCAGAGCTCATCTGTTGGAACATATCTACACAATCAGATATACCAACACCTTTCTAAACTTTATCAGAATATTTTTTAAAAGATTATAAGACCCCCCATTTTATAAATAAAAACATATTCACAAATATATTTTTATGTTTAAAAGTTTTGAAAAGTACACAAAAGAAGAAAGAAAAACACTAAAAGTTTACACCTGGAGATAACAGTGTTCAACACCTGGCCATGGCTGGTGCCTTGCACCTATACCTGATATAATAGGTGCTTAATAAGTATCCACTGGAAGAATGAAGAGATGAAAGAAAGATTACCTTTGGTTCATTTTCTTCTAGTCTTTTTCCTCTGCATTTGTTTGCATAGTAGGTATTGATATATATATGGGTTACAACTTTTTATTATAAAAATAATACATTCTTGTAGAAAATTTGCAAAATATAAGAGAGTATACAACAGAAAACAAAAATCACCTAGAAATACACTACCCGGAGATAATCACTAACATATTCCTTTAGTCTTTTTTCTATGCTTATATTCTATGTGTATATACGTAGTTAAGTTTTAAACAATTTGTGTCCACATTGATTCTTAGACATTATTAACAAAAGAGCATTTATACATCCTGGAAAGAAAAATGACAAGGGCTTGATTATAATTAATATCAATGCAATATTTTTACCAATTAAGAAAAATCTTAGTGACCGAAGTCACTCAATATTCATTTCAAAGATGCAGGAAAATTCAAATATTTTGTGACCCAAGTCACTCAATATTCATTTCAAAGATGCAGGAAATATTTATTTCAAAGATGCAGGAATTATTTCACAATAAAAAGAAAATGACCAGTCAGTCTCTATGGAACTTTTAGGAAAAAAAAATAAATTCAGTAACAAAACTTGTGGTTTAATAATTCTCCAAGCCTTTTCCCAAATGTGTTAGTTACTACTTGCAACAATAGTTGCTTTTTTAAGTGTTCATCCAGACTGAAGTGAAAGATGTGACTTCCAACAGATCCTTACAAAGCAGAGGAATAGTTGAAGGAAGTATTACAGAACCACGTTTTACCCACAAACTGTACAATCTAACTGACAACATACATTTAAACTGGATTCCTGAGTTTTGCGGCCCAGACCTCCCTATTTTTTATTTCTTAATTTTGAGTCGTTGGCCAGCTGGAGCTAGGTCTCAAGTAATTTATTTTCCCCAAAAAGAGTATATAGATGATATATCTTTTGAGGTTTTGTATATCTGAGGATATATTTCTTTTACATACACTTATGAGAGCTATATAAACACTATGTAAATTGCCCTTGGCTTCACTTACTGTTCATTTGGATGATAATTGAACTTCTTTCTCAGATCTATAGCTGGATGACTGACTGATTTTGCACAATTTCTAGTCTAAATCCTACTAGCTTTAATCTAGAACTGCTCAATCTTCTGCACTTGTGCCTGTGCTGTCATTAATTGCTCCCTTCCCTTCATCTCTCATTTTGTCAGTTTTCCAGAAATTTCCATTTCTACCATGATATAGGGACAGGTCTTGATGGTGTAGAGTAAGACTTCTCAACTTTGGCATTTTTAACGTTTTTGGACCAGATAATTCTTTCTTATGGGGGGCTGTCCTGTGCCCTTTAGCAGCATCCCTGGCCTCTGCCCATGAGATGCCAGTGGCACCTTACCCCAAAGTTGTGACAGTTAAAAATGCCTCCAGACATTGCCAAATATTCTGATGTAGAGGGTAGGTTCAGCATTCCAGCAATCTCAAAAAGCAGTAACTTTACTTGAAAGTATAGCTGCCTTATTTTTTGGTAGTTATAAATCTTATATTTTTGATATTTAATAAAGGAGAGAAGGGTCTTATTTTTAAGTGAGCATGCGTACTCTGTTTCTAATGCCATTATACATGTACTGTATCAATTTTATATTTTCAACCCAGGGATATCATTGTAGCAGTTCATTACTATTCCTCCCAACTTGTGACAATAGGTCAGCTAGGAGTGTCAAATATTTATCTTACGTGTTTTCATAGTTATTTTAATGTGACAGAGGCCACTGGAACCTTTTTTTTAATTATTATTATTTTTATTTTTTTTGAGACAGAGTCTTGCTCTGTTGCCCGGGCTGGAGTGCAGTGGTATGATCTCAGCTCACTGCAACCTCTGCCTCCCAGCTTCAAGCGATTCTTCTGCCTCGGCCTCCCAAGTAGCTGGGATTACAGGTGCCCACCACCATGCCTGGCTAAGTTTTGTATTTTTAGTAGAGATGGGGTTTCACCATGTTGGTCAGGCTGGTCTCGAACTCCTAACCTCAGGTGATCTGCCCACCTCAGCCTCCCAAAGTGCTGGGATTACAGGCGTGAGCCACCGTGCCTGGGTCCTTTTTAAACAGGAACACATCGAAATCTTTAAAAGAACTTCCCATTCAACAACATTCCTCTTGTTTAGAACATAAGAAGTTAGTATAAATGTTATGGTGTAGAAGGTGGCAAAGAGATGGCTAATATACTATGCTACTATTTTTGCTAAGGGATTAGCTCTATCTTATAACTACATAGCTATTATTTCCCTTTTTCTAATTTATAGCATATTGTAACAGAAAACTAAAACTCAATTAATAGAAAATGTTGGTTTTTGCAGAACCATTCTTTCTATTCTTTCTAGCCCACATGCATAGCTCACTAGGTTAAGCACTCTTTTCCACCAGGCACTTTAGAAAAGAAAAAGTAATGGTGGTGCGGGGGAAGAAATGGAAATGGTTTAGTCTCTGTTTCCATGCTGCCCCCATTCCCTTAGTCTAGGAGGGAGATTCCCACCTGGGCGAGAAGATGGAGAGGCTTTCTTTCACTCTGGGTAGACCTTACTCCACAGTGGATATGGTATTAATAGTTTTGTCTCTGGTTTTAATCTTTACCATTCTGGATTGAGTCACAGAATGTCATCCCAAAGTGTAATGTCAGCTGCAGCAGGCCTGGTTTATGTTAATAAAACATTCTTCTGATTGGGTGGTGTTGATCATTGTGGAGTTGTTTTTGGCTCCATGATATATTTTGAGTGGAAACATACTATCTGAACCCTGAATATTAATATGGTCTTTATATGTATTTTCAGTAACAAAAAGATAACAGTATTTGACATTAAAAAAAAAATTCCCTAAAGCCCAGGCTAACACATTCTTTATCTTTTTCATCTCAAATTCCAAGGTTGGATAGACATGAATTGAACTTTAAGAAGCATCCCATTCAATAACAATCAAAATATTAAAATTTCTTAGGATTTTACAAGATACTCAAAGTAATAAGCCAGTTTTACAATGATAGCCATCAAACATCTACACATAACAATAATCTTAAAACAATGTCTCCCAACTTGTGTTCATTAAATGATAGGATTATATTAAAATGTCAAGATTTTAATTTATAGAATGTCTATTAGTTTATGTATCACAAATTGAAATAGAATGAAATTTCTAGGCTTTAATCTACTTATCATTAATTGCTTACTTTATATAGTATGTGTGTTGGATTTTTTTTATTTTTGAAGATTTTTTCACAAACATCTCATTTACCCCAGTGGGGGGATAGGTATTTTCCCCATTCTGTAAATGATTTAGCCAAGGATCAGAAAAATTGAAGTGATCCACCTAATCTACCATGAGTAGTACAAGGCAGGGCTGGAACCCAAGCTAATCCAATTCTGAGGCTAGGCTATTTGCACCACCTGCATTGTAAGTCACTTTATCAAAGGATAAAAGACCAAAAATTTTACAATCCTCTTTGATCCAACTAGACTCGTCTCCTGATCATTTACCTTAGTTAATTTAATATGAAACCATTTATTAACAATGTGTTTTTGTTTGTTTGTTTTTTGAGATAGATGGGGTTTCACCATGTTGGCCAGGCTGGTCTCGAACTCCTGACCTCAGGTGATCCGCCCCCACCTGGCCTCTCAAAGTGCTGGGATTACAGGCGTGAGCCACTGTGCCTGGCCTATTTGTTGGACAATCTATACCTTCCTGGTAAATATAATTTTTACTAGAGAAATGGGTTTGTTGATTTCTCTTTGAATGTCTACATTTGCTACTATAAGATGTAGTTTGCTACTTAATGCAAGAGAAATATTATTAACGAAAACGTATTTATAGCTGAAATGGTGATTCTTAAAATTCTTATAATTCTCAAAAGTAGGTGAAAAAATAATATACTTTGCTTTCCTCTATAGCCAGCTCCTGTCCTTATTCAAAATTTGAATTGTGAAAAATTACAGGTTGCTTGAGGTTATGAAGCTTAGTTTAAAACTTCAAAATAAAACATAGCTTTTGGTATTGCTCTTTTATATTTGAACAAAAAACATTTGATTTGGGATGCCAAAGCAAACCCAAAAATCTGCTTGCTCTTGACTATGGTTTAATTTAAAGACAGCTGTGAAATATCTTTATACTAATTAGATTTGTTTATATTAAATAAGAATGAACTGGAAGTTGGTGATTTACTCGACAGATATTGGACCTTGAAAATTAAATAATTGCTCTAAGAACATTAGATCAACACTGATTTGAAATCCCTGCTTTGTAATTAGCCATGAGTGAAATGTGTGTTTAGTTCAAGTTGTGTGTTTGGTTTACATTAGCATGACTTGATTATAAAGCAAAGGAAAAATACTAACCAAATGTCTCCGCAGTCCTCTAAGTTTCTGTCATCCTGAAACACAAGTTAGTTTGATTTTTAAAAAATCTAGTCCTGATAATAAATGAAGATGTATGTGTGCATGCTTGCATGTGTGGAAAATCAGGAAGCAGTCACCTTGCAGGCTAAAGAACTGGTAGAGAAAATTTCCTAAGTGAAAGTTTTAGGGTACCTGTGGTAGCCAGCCTCTTTAAAGACAGATATAGTTCATTTCATTGGATGAATTATGATGGATT